TAACCTCTCTGAGCCTCAGTTCACTCATCTAAAATATATAGCTATAATAATATCTATAGTATCTAGAGCCGTGAAGATTAGAAATAAGGTACATCAGATGCAAAAACAGTGACCAGGCACTTGGTGGACAAATTGAGAGACATAACCTATTATTGTTGTTATTTTGCTAAGCCTGGGAGGCACAAGCAACAGTTTGTCCACTTTTCTATTTATGTATGTTGGGGTGCCTGAGGGCAAACTTGGTATATGGGAAATTTTTTTTTTCTTTTTCTTTTTCTTTTTTTTTGGCATGTGGGAAATTTTAACTCCATTACCCAGGAACACCGGTAAGGATTTTGAAACAGAGTTCGCAAAGAGTCAGAAGTGAGACGCTGATGTGATGGGAAAAGTGAGGGAGAACTGGGGTCTCCCTCCCAGCTCTGTCTCCATTGCCAGGACAGCCTCAGCCAGTCACTTTGCCTCGTTGGATTTTGTTTCCTCATCTGTGGAAATCAGCTGGCAAGGTGTCAATCATCTAGAGCTGTGCCCTTCAGTACCATGACACCAGCGACACGGGACTATTTAAATTTGAATTATTAAAATTAAATCAAGTTAAAAATTCAACTCCTCAGTCACACTGGCTCTATTTCAAGTGCTCAATCATCGCATATGGCTAGTGCTGACTGTGTTGGACAGCACAGATACAGAACATTTCCCTCGTCACAGAAAGTGCTATCAGACAGGGCGGAATTCAAGAGCTTGCTACCCAGTGCCTGTCCTCAGATAAGCAGCATCAGCCACCTGGGAACTTGCCAGAAAGACAAAGTCTCAGGTGCCATTCTAGACCTTTAGGACCAAAATCTGCATTGTAACAAGGCTGCCCCAGTGATCATAGACTCAAGTTTAAGATGCCCTGATCTGTAAGATTCCTTTTGGCTCTCAAAATGAAATTTAGGAATCTGGGTCTCTGCTTGACAAAGTCTATGGGAAAGAAAGGAGCAACTGACTTCTCCAAATCTGGATTCCCAGATTCGCCTCAAAGGAAAGAATTGGGGCCGTCCAAGGAAACTTTAACAGGACATCATACCTCTGCAGAAGAGGAAGGGAATCAGCAGACTTCTAAAGGAGCCATGGAAACAGCAGTGCTGGGAAGGCAGTGCAATCTCACTCCTGTCGCTATTCCTCCCTTGAACTTGGGGCATCCAGTTGTTGCTTGAAGACCTTCAGAGAATAGAAGTTCTCAAGTTCTCATTTTTTTTTTTTTTTTTTTTTTTTTTTTTTTTTTTTTTTGTGGCCGCCAAAAAAAAAAAACAAAAAAAAACAAGAAATGGGCTGCATTTACTGGGCACTTTCTGTCCTGGTCGTCTTAAGGGGCTTGCTAAAACTCTCCTCGTCCAACTACACCAGAAAGGAGCTCAGGCAGAACTGATATTCAAGTAGGGAAAATGAGAAACAGATTGGGGAAGAAATCAAGGCCACGTTCAACAATGACAGGAAGGGCAGACTGGACACCAGCTTCTGGACATGTGGTCCCAAGCCCAGGTCTGTGGCTTAAACTATAAAATAAGAGAGGATACACTCAATCCTCTCACTGCAGAAAGTTTTGGTGTCTTTTGGTGATGTGCTGTTTTCAGTACAAAAATAAGGAGGATAATATTAAATCTGTTGCTCATTAAGAAAACATGTCCTCTTACAGGACAAAATTGCAGCTGTATATCTTATTTAATTGTTATTAGTTTGTATCGCCCAATGTTAAACTTTTAATGTGTCCGTAAATCTGTTTCTTACTGTCAGAGAAATATCTGTATTAGGAACACACTGTGCAAGAATGAAGACGAGAGAAGGGAAATATGAATCCAAAATACACATTATTAATTTTTTAGGAAGCCAGGAGAAGGGTGCCTCACGAAGCATATTAGAAAAAAAAAGCCAAAACAGCTGGGATTTCTGATTTGCTTGAGAGAAAAACCTGCTGAATCGAGACGCAGCCTTACAGGGCCAACTATCTTCGGCAGGGGGAAAAGTGAGCAGGTAGAAATGGGTTTGTGATATACAGGTCAACTCTTAAACATGACGTCACTGGCAGAACGTGTCATGCTTTTCCAGCAGACACACAATGAGCTGAGTGTCCTGTCACATAAGCTGGAGTCATGGAATCTGGCCATGGCGCGGGGTGCAGGAAGCTGGACGGGGAGGCAGGGAGAGCAGGTCTGGACCCCACCACCAACTCTCTGGGTGTTCTGAGGATCAGATTTCTCAGAGCCTCTGAGCCTTGGCTTCTGTGTGAAATGCAAAGAGCATTTGTCTTTGGGGGCTTCAGGGAGAGAGATGCTCTACATAAAGTGAACGGAATGGGCCGTTAATCCCTATTAGTGGATCATTTAGACAAATAAAGGTTTGGGGGTCAAACCCAAAGCTATGGCAAAGAAAGTGAACAGGGACATGGCTGGGAGGAGGGACAGCACTTCCGACCTGCTCTGATGCATCGTGTCCTGCCCACCTGCTCACCGCTGACAGCAGCTGTCCTCCCGTCCAGTCCACAAGGCAGCTGACTCTGGCTGGCAGTGCTGGGGAAGGTTCGGGGGCACAGGAGCCCTTTGGTGATTTCCAGGGGTCAAAACAGAGTGGGAGAGGGGTCAGTTCATGGAAGAACGACCAACCTCCAAACCAGCTTCCAAATCTGAAAGGAGGCAAGCGTGCAGGAGGAAAGACCTCCGTCCTTTTGCTGGTCCCTGTTCTAATAGCTATTCCAATTCCCCTCTGGACAGCGTGAGAATATCCTCTTACATGGGATTCCGAATCTCTAAAAAGGCCGGTCCCACATGGTAATCACCCTTCTTCAACACTTCATTTCTCTCCAGGTCTCTTTTCTGTGCCGAGCGTTTCCCCTCACGTGACGGGAGCCGTACGCCCTCTACGTTATTGTAGGAGAAACATCCACAGGTTTGTTCCTAACTTGCCTCTTTGTCCATCTCATTTCCACTCTTCACCAACTTCATTCAGCCTGAACACAAAAAGAATTGTTCCTTTTCCCTGAATTGCTCGGTTCATGCCCACTAGCCAATGCCTGGGCACCTCTCACACACTGAGTATAATCCTGACTCAAACATTGTCCAGCTATTCCAGAAATCCAGCCCCAGCTTATCCGATGTGAGAAGGGATGTATTTGACAGTGGTTTGTTTGTTTTTTTAAGTTTACTTATTATTTTGAGAGAGAGAGAGAGAGAGAGTACGTGCACACATGCATAAACTGGGGAGGGACAGAGAAGGAGAGAGAGAGAGAGAGAGAGAGAATTCCAAGCAGGCCCCACACCATCAGTGCAGAGCTGAATTCGGGGCTCAATCTCATGATCATGAGATCGTGACCTGAGCCGAAATCAAGAGTCAGATGCTTAACTGAGCCACCCAGGCGCCCTTATTTGACAGTGTTTAAAAACTGATCAATATCTTCTTTGAAATCCCACACATACCGTATGCTCTTTTTAGATACTTTCATGCCAAGCAAGAAAGAAACGTCTCAAATTGATTTTATATCATTCCAAATGAACCCAAGACCGTCTGAGTGCATCACAGACCTAAAGATGCATGACTGACAGGATGGAAGCAGGCTCATTAGCACCTTCATTTTAATCCTGCCAGATCTGGGAATAAAGAAAAGGTGATTCGTTCAGTGACAAAACATTCTTATTTCCCTTGCAAGATTCTCAGAGAGCAACTGCCCTCAGAGGGTAAGGGCGGGCTGGAGGGTGTGGGTAAGACACAACCGTTCGTTACAGGGCAGAGACACAATGGCTTCGTCCAGTGCTTCATTTAGGTTTGGGTGCCCTTGGTACGCTTTCTGATCTGCAAGATCAGGGCAGAAAAAAATAGATGACTATCAAAAAGTGATCTTACATAATGCAATGTGTTGAAATTTTAGCCTATTCATCAGCCTAGGGTTTATTTCAATTCTTAAGATCCATGATACAGTATTGCTGTTTTTATCAATTCACAACCAGTGCCTAAGAAAGCAGCACAGAATTCGGTGACTTAAGATAAATAAGCATTTATTACTCCTCAAGTGGCTGTGCTCAGCTGATGGGCTGCCTGGTGACTGGCTGATCTAGGAGGGCCCCCTTCAGGTGTTTGGCAGTTGATTGGCTATTGGTTAGAGCCAAATCTGGTGAGATAGGCTCATTCACGTCCCCCCACACCCAAGCTGTCCATGTCCTAAGGCCCAGAGCCTGTTAATATGTTATTTTACATAGTGATAGGGTCTCTACATATGGGATTAAGCTAAGGACCTTGAGATGGGGAGATGATCCAGGTTCATCTGGGTGGGCCCAATATAATCACAGGGATCCTTCTAAAGGGAGGCAAGAGAATCAGAGTCCCAAAAGATATAAGGATGGCAACAGAGGTCTGAGAGGAAAGAAGGTGCAACATTGCTGGCTTTGAAATGGAGGAGAGTTCAAGAGCTTCCAGATGCTGGAGAAAGTGAGAAATGGATTCTTCCCTGGAGCCTCCAGAAGGAACATAGCTCTCTGGACTCATTTTAGACTTCTGACTTGCAGAACTGTAAGAGAATAAACATGTGTTTCTATAAACCACTAAGCTTGTGGCAATTTGTGGCAGGAGACTAACACACCTGGACCTGTTAAAAAGTCAGTAGTAAGGTTCCAAGGGAGAAGAAGTGGATCATAGACTCAGGACTGGCACACTGTCACTTCTGCTGCGTTCTGTGGATCAAAGACATCACAAAGCCATTCCAAATTCAAGGGCTGGAGAAATAGACCCACCCACCTCTTATTGGATTCTGTTTCTCCCACCTCTTGACGGGAGAAGCTGTAAAGTGGCATTTAAAGGGATGAGGAGGGGTGCCTAGGTGGCTGTGTTGGTTAAGCATCTGACCCTCGGTCTCAGCTCAGGTCCTGATCTCAGGGTTATAAGTTCAAACCCCACATTGGGCTCTGTGTTGGCTCTTCACTGGGCGTGAAGCCTACTTTAAAAAAGGGGGTGGTGGTGGGGGTGTGGAGGTAGAGATGGGTAAAGAATTACGGCCATTTTTTGCAACCAATCTACCCCCATGTCCTTTACACAGTGACCGAGGACATTCAAAAGCAGTGCCTGACCCTGGTTTCTTTTTTATTTCCAGGGACACAAGGAGCATGGGTGTCTTTACCTCAGGCGCTGATATCTTCCTAGGTCTCTGGGGGATGTATGTGTCTCCACGAAGCCCTGGATGGATGGACTTTATCCAACATTTGGGAGTGTGCTCTTTTGTTGCTCTCATTTCAGTGGGCCTCTTGTCTATGGCCTTTTCCGGGTGTCTGTCCACATTCATAGCCTTTAGCTCCTCCTGGATGGTCACTTGTGTTCTGCTTTGCTGCTCCAAGCATGCACGATGTTTCATTCTCCTCTTCTTCCTTTCCTGTGGCCTGCGGGAGGGCAGGAATGCCTTGATTGCAGCTGGCACAGGGATAGTAATCTTAGGACACGTGGAAAATATTTTTCATAACTTCAAAGGTCTCCTGGACAGTATGACTTGCAACCTAAGGGCCAAGAGCTTTTCCATACATTTTCCACTTTTGAAAAAATATATTGAAGCCATTCAGTGGATTTATGGCCTTGCCACTCACCTAAGTCTATTTGATGACCTTATTTCTTGGAACCAGACTCTGGCAGTCTCTCTTTTCAGTCCCAGCCAAGCCCTGGAGGCACAGCTAAATGACACCAAAGGCCAAGTCCTGGGTGTCTTGTACCAGATGGTGACGGCAACAGAGGTATTGTCCTCCCTGGGACGGCAGCTCCTTGCCCTAGCAGGGCTTTTGCTGGTGCTACTTGGCACTGGCCTCTTCATGAAGCGATTTTTGGACCCTTGTGGTTGGAAGTTTGAAAATATCTTCATCACTAAACAATTTGTTCGGTTCGATGAAATGGAGAGGCAACTACAGAGGCCCTGTGTCCTCCCACTGAATAAGAAGGAAAGGAAAAAACACGTTGTCATCCCATCTTTCTGGCCGTCTCCTAAAGAGAGGAAGAACCTGGGGCTGTTTTTCCTCCCCATTCTTACCCACCTCTACATCTGGGTGCTGTTTGCAGCCATAGATTATCTTCTGTATCAGCTCATTTTCTCAGTGGGCAAACATTTCCAAGGCTTGCCAGGGCTGGAGGTCCACCTGAAACTGCACAGAGAGGTAAGCGTTCACAGGTGCTTCTTGTGATGCGTCCCGGCTATTTGCTGGCTTGCCTTGAAAAAGATCATGAACCTCCCAGAGCAGGGCACTGCCTTATTCACCTTGGGATTCCCATGATGGCACAGCGTCTGGCATGTAGAAGGAGCCCAACAATTGTTGGTTAAGTTGACTTGAAATCCTGTTGTTAGAGTATGATGTCATCCTGAAAATCTTTGGTCACCGTTTTAGTTTCCTGTGGCTGCTCTAACAAATTGACCCAAACTGGGTGGTTTGCAAGAACAAAAATTTATTCTCTTATAGTTCTGGGGGTAACAAGTCCAAAATCAGTACCACTGAGCTGAAATTAAGTGCGAGCAGGGCCACAATCACTTTGGACTCTAGGGAAGAATCTACTTGTTGCTTCTTACAGCGTCTGGTGGCTTGTTGGCTTTTCTTGGCTGTGGCCGCAACCCCCATCTTCACTTATGTCTTCACATTGTCTTCTCCGTGTATGTAAAATCTCTCTCTGCTTTCCTCTTAAAGGATGAATGTGATTGTGTTAAGGCTCACTGAGATAATCAGGGTAAATTCCCCATCTCGAGATCTTTATCTTGGTCACTACTGCAACGTCCCTTTTTTCCAAATAAAGTAACATGTATAGGTTTCAGGCCTTAGGATCTTATATCTCTGGAGAGAGGGAATTTTTTAGCTTTCTATAGTTAGCAAACACTGAAATGGGAGAATAGGTGTCTCTGATATGGGACGTAAAGTTGGTTCTCAAGCAAGAGTACCTGGCATGAACCTAGAGTCTGTCTTCCTCTCTCCCTTGGACCTGTGCAGGTAGACTTTGAGCAACTTCTGTGAATGAGAACTTCTTTTCTTTGCATCTTGAGTCCGTATGCAATATAGGAGGCCTGTCAATGCATCAGCAGAGCATTTAAGAGGATGATCGCTGAAAAATGGGCTCCTAAGTGACCAGATATTATGGCTGGTGCTAGTATATGATAATACCCCCTAGAAAAGAAAATAAAAGAAGAGAAGAGAAGAGAAGAGAAGAGAAGAGAAGAGAAGAGAAAAAAGAAAAGAAAAGAAAAGAAAAGAAAAGAAAAGAAAAGAAAAGAAAAGAAAAGAAAAGAAAAAAGAGCTACCTTGGTTTTTTAGGTCAGTGGTTCTCAACCTTAAGTGTGACCTGAGCCGAAATCAAGGGTGAGATGCTTGAGCCGCCCAAGTGTCCCAGGGAGAGTACTTTTAATAAACACTCCATGGGATTTCAAAGTACGTGGTCTATAGAGACCATATTTCGAGAAAATTTGGTGCCAAAAGCAAGGACCTTCTAAGTCAGTGATTATCTGCCATAGCCACATGGTGCCTTCACTGTGGACCTGAACAAGCCAACAAACACCCAGGAATCAGATTTAAGTGGATTGGGGTGAGGCCTGGGTGAGGGATTTTCAAAAAGTCTCCAAGTAGTTCTGACGTGTGGCCAAGATTGAGAACCACTGTTCTAAACTCCGCCCAAAAGAAGGGAGCTGAAAGCCATTGGATGGATCTATGACAATCTTAATTGGTCAAGATAGTGTGTTTCTCTGAGCTGGTGCCCCCTGAGCCTCAGGGAATCTCTCCTTCGTTCTTGTTCCTCTTGGCAGCTGTGTCCCAAGCAAGAAGACCATGAGTTTTGTGCCTCCCACCTTTTTTCTTTTCCATTTTTCTGTGGGGAAGTTTGTGATTATGTGGGCATGTCAGAGGATGTGGGTATTGTCAGACATTGTCTTGATTTTTTCTAAACCCAGAGGTTGTGAAGCTGAGCTAGGTGGGACATGCGTGTTTATGTGCATGTATGCGTGTGTACATGCGTGTGTGTGTGTATGTGGGCGTGAGTGTTGCTCATGGTGGGGTAGAGTGCGCCAGCCTGGGCTAGTGAAAACACCAATAGCTGTCTGCACATGTCTGATTTTCCCTTGTTTTTGGTCAAGCTACAGTCTTCCACGGGCTCTCTTTATCTCGGGAACTGGGGTCTTCTGGTAGCATCCACACTTTTCTTCCCAGCTTCCTCTGGCTCAGCAGGTAGGTCGACTCCGCCCCCTGTAATCCTGGGCTGCTTCTCAGAGTTGATTACCCTGAGCATTCTGCTGCCCCTGAAGAATTCAGTTAATTACAAGATCTCTGTTGCTCTAGATATCTGGAGCAGGGGGAATAATGGAAGCGGTGTCTCCAGTGAAAGCTAAACTAACTCTTTAGACATGCTTAATCCTGGGGGTGGCAGGGAAAAGGGTCTCTCCCTTCCCCTCCCCCAACCCATTCTCCTTTGTCTTTTTTCCTTGCTCGGTTCTTCCTCTCCTCCCTTCTCTTTTTGCTTCTCTCTCACATTTCTCCCTCAGCCAATACCCATGCCTGCTTTGTGAATTCTCACCATTTTAGACAGAATGAGAAAAAGGCAAGTTCTGCCTTCCAAAAAAAGCCCAGAAGCTTTCCAATGACAATGTCCTGACAAATACATTTTTGGGCATCGCAGGGTACTGGAGATGCAAAGATGTCTAAGCTTTGCCAGCTGCCATTGCACACTCACATCCTGGTGGGGGAGGCCGCCACCCTCTCGCATAGCGACAGCAGGGCGGTGGGTGCTGGGGCAGGTGTGGGTATGAGACTGCTGTGGGGGCTTCTCGCAAACTCTCTCCTGCTGTGCCTGGGAGACTGCCATCAGCCGCTGGCTCCAGGGACCTGCAGTGTCCTGCCCTTATCCCAGGATGCCCTTGGTGGCCGTGGGTCCCTCTGTTGCTGCAGGTTGAGCAGGAAGAGAAACATCACCTCAGGGTTTTGCCAATATTTCTCTCCCACTTTCATATGATTTTAAATAAGTCTTTTAAGTAGAGAAGAAAGAAGGGAAATGACCCAAAGGGAGCTAGCTGGATGGGTGGGCATCGTAAGTAAAAGTAGCCAGCATTGTTAACTTATTGAGCACGTATTGTGCACAGCATTTGTCTGCATTAGCTTTTCAGGACTGTCTGATACCAGAGCGGATCCTCGGTCCGTTACTCAACGCTGTCTTGGCAAATTGTGTACTTATGAGAGGTAAACACATTTTAAAACATCAGGGTACCATTTAGCATATTGCTCAGCATTTTGAGAGAATTCATTTGTCTTCCACATTACCCTCCACCAACGCTGTACAAAAATGTTGACTCAATCTTTATGAAGCCCTGACTCCCAAATGCAAAATCCCCAGTTAGATTCCTAGATTAAGTAACTTCTTCCAAGACCGGACACCCGCTGCTTTCTTATTGCAGGATTTCTCATCACTGACTCACTCGATGTGTTTGTTTCTTCACTAGTATTAAAAAGAGCACATGCTTTGCTCTGGGGACTGAAATCTCTATATTTAATTGTAGGTGAACTTTCTTTTTAATAAGAGAAAATGAAAGGCAACATTTTCATTGCTTAGGCACAGTGGTGGAGAAATTACAGATTTGACTTGACATCTATAGAGACGCCCCAGGTTTGAAGTTTCCAGAGTCTTCACAGGCACTGGGACAGCTCAAGGTGCACTCTGTTCTCTAGGTGTGGTTGTGTTCTTTTGGAAAAGTCATTTCCCTCTTCCTGCCCGCCACTGCCCCCCCAGCTCTGGGGTGCTGCAGTGATAATAGCTTACTAAGTACTCCAGTTTGTAAAGTTAACGCTCCATCCCCAAGGTGCTTAATTTACACTGGGAGTAGTTTATTCATGGGCAGGATCTGCTCCATTAATTCCTGTTTTACCAAATTAGAAAACAAATCCACCGAGAGATTAAATGACTTTCTCAGGTCAGGGAAAACCAAGTGCTGAATCAGCACACACTTTTGCTGGTGGCTTGGCTGGGCGGCACAATGTCATCTTTTGCCCTCTGTTGTCAGTCCACTGAGGGCAACTGGTTTGTACTCTTGCCTTCAAGCAGAAAGGAACACATTCCGCCCGAGCATCCAGCAGAGATGAGACAATGTCCTGTCTGAGACCTCTACACAAAGGGTTTAAAGCCACCTTCAGCAAATACTATTCTTAGTATTTTTACGCTAAGAATAATTCCCTGCCCCCAATGTCTAGAAGGTTGATTTAGAACATAATTTAATGCTTCTGCATCTTTGTGACCTCGTGGTCTGCCGTCGGGGTATTTGTCAAGATGGGGAGGACATGGTGGGGTCTTAAGGGGCTACGCTCCAAAAAAAAGGCTCCTGCAGTTAAGCTAAAAACATCTTTCATCAGTCCCACGTTTCCTAGCGTGTAGAAACAGGTGTTCCATAAAACTGGGTTATGTGGTCAAATGTGTGAGGAGAAGTGTTGGCTGAAGTGAAATGGATTTCTCCGCCTTCTTCTCAGAGACTTCAACAGCCTCATGGGGATCCTGACTCTCCAAAGAAAGGACAGAGTAGACAAACTTATCTGATACGTTTTCTCTCAAGGAAATCTATATTTCCACAAACCCGCTTTAGAAAAACACTGCAACCGCTGCAAAGAACACTCGGCCCTTGTCTTTGCTCCCATCCTAGCACACAAAAGGAGCTGCTCCAGTCCAAATCCCTGCATGGTTCATGCTAAATGCTATGCATTGCAGGGCAGGATTGAGCAAGACAAGGACTGAGGGCAAAAATGGCATGGATCTTAAGGGTCTTATTCTTTCATTTTAGGAGCAAGGAACTCAAGACATCATACATGACTCTTCCTTTAACATATCTCTGTTTGAACCCACCTGCATCCCCAAGCCAAAGCTCCTTCTGTCTAAGACCTGGGTTCCTCTCAGCATTATTCTTGTGATACTAGTGGTGCTGGGACTGCTGTCCTCCATCCTGACGCAGCTTAAAATCCTGGTGTCCGCGTCCTTCTACCCCACCGTGCAGACGGAGCGCGTCCGGCACCTGCATGTGAAGCTCCTGAAGAAGAGAGCAAAGCAGGCACTGGGAGGAGAAAACAGTAAACAGAATCTCTACTTTACAAAGGCAAGGCAAGCCAAGATGGCGATGTAATCTGTAATGAAGGAGACTTTGGGTTTGAAGGGCCAGTGGACTTGCAAAGCACTCTTCAATTTCATGTTAGGGTTCACACCCCTAGCAATAGATAGGACACCAGGGGGAGAAAATTAATAGATATGTGTGGCTAAGGCTCTTCGCTTCGTGCTTTTGAGTGGGCCAGATGGATCTGCAAGATATTTTTCAAAACGCTGATTTCTTTTTATTTTTTTATTTTTTTTAACGTTTATTTATTTTTGAGACAGAGAGAGACACAGCATGAACGGGGGAGAGTCAGAGAGAGGGAGACACAGAATCTGAAACAGGCTCCAGGCTCTGAGCTGTCAGCACAGAGCCTGACGCGGGGTTCGAACTCATGGACCGCGAGATCATGACCTGAGCCGAAGTCGGCCGCTTAACTGACTGAGCTGCCCAGGCGCCCCAACGCTGATTTCAAGTAGGTACAGTCAGCCACAAGGTAGAGAGGCTACTGGGAAGGCCCTCTGCAATTATTATTAAAGGACCGTGCCCAGTAAGAGCGATTTATCACGTCGAGGACAAATAAATAACAGAGGGAACTATCTACTACAGCTTGGGAGACTTCAAAGAATTTGTTCATTCTCCAGCATTAAAGTATATGTATGATGTACATATGATGAAGAGGATTTCTATAGGCATAACATATATGTATATTTATGCATAAATATGATAACGACTTCCTACACATAAAATGAATGCTCATCGAAGGTTTTATTTAACTTATTAATTAATGAAGAGACGGTAAGAAATTCCAACCAATTCAAAGAACAGTTCAACGCGCGCGCGCACACACACACACACACACACACACACACACATATATATATGCCACCAGGAATACCCAAATGAATGTGCTTACTAGATGCACATTCTTCTTCCACAAGGTGGATGGGAGGATTAATTGCACTTTACAGGGTGAAAGTCATTTCACGTGTCCGTGGACAAGAATCATTCCCATTGTTGCTATCAGCTCCCGACAGCTGGGAATGGGGAAATGGCTTAGAAACAATGAAAGGCTAAGGTAACCCACAAGGATAAGTTTCTGGCCATTTCCAAGTCTCTTTTTTTTCTCCTTTTTATAATGGCACAAGACCATTTTATTTCTTTACTTTTTGGGTAAGTTTATTGATTTATTTTGAGAGAGACAGAGACGGCCCAAGTGTGAGAGGGGCAGAGAGAGAGGGAGAGAGAGAGAATCCCAAGCAGGCTCTGCGCTGCCAGCACAGAGCCCAGTGTGGGACTCAAACCCACAAAGCGGTGAGATCATAACTTGAGCCGACACCAAGAGTCAAACGCTTAACCGACTGAGCCACGTAGGCGCCCTTGGCCATTTCCAAGTCTTTTGCATGTTTTTCTAATGCCGGCAGCCCACAATGAGAAGTTTATGTCACAGGCATCTGAAATGACTCTAATGCTCATTCATTGATCTTTTTGTCTCTTCAGATTCACTTCTGGCTTCCAGTCTTGAAAATGATCAGGAAGAAACCAATGGGCATTGCAGGTGAAGACAATCCATGAGAGACTCCAAGCAGCTCCTCGGCCACACTGCTCCAGCAATTCTCCTCAGGTCTGCTGATGGTCCCTATTTTTGCCCAACAGCAGAGAACTGTGTTGCGTGATTCCTCGGGTGTTTGAGTTTGCGGACCAAACCACTTTTCTTCATAAGGCCGAAGGGCTACCAGGTTAATGGCTTTGTCATCTGTCTTCCAAAGCACATGATTTGGACGATGTCACGGTGTAACAGAATTATAACCAGACCCCTGGAGGATGAGTCTCAGCATGGAGTAATATTCAAAGAAAAAAAAAAAAAAACACACAGAACAAAAATTAGAAAAAAATCAGTGTCTCTACTGCTGACTTATAGGCAAATGCCAAGGAGAACATAACACATATAATGCCAGGAAAATATCTTTAACCTCTTCTGTCCTTTCTCTGCCCTTTTAAATATCTCTCATAGCTATTCACTATACACAGAACTATCTCCCTTTCCCCTGTTCCTATTCAAAAAAAACAAATCCTTTTTTTGAAACCCATATCTAGCAGCTCCTAATTTCTCCTTACCACTATCTGGGCTCCTACCCTCTTCTTTCCTGGATCACTTGTTTTTTTCCCCTCTTCTACCAAATCCTCTATCTGGTATTTATGATAGTGTTGCCTCAGGAGCACATGTTTCCAAATCACAGGAAATGCTTGTTAAATTGCCCATCTTGAGCCACTTTCTTCTACGCTCAATGTAGACTATACAGTATATAGAGGCCTATTTCCCCTAAACTCCAAACACCCATGAGGGAAAAAAAAACCTCCTGAAATATTGATTCCATTATCTTGAAAGCTTTTATGTTGAAAACTTTTCAGACTTACCGAAAAGTTGCAAAATAGTAGAGTTCCATTTACCTTCATCCATCATCCCCAATGTTAACATCTTATAGAAGTGTAGTGTAATTATACTTGGTAAACAATCTTGAAAAAAAATGGATAATGTGCAGAACTTATTGAGTTCATGCCAATTGTCCCACTAATATTCCTTTTCTGGTCCCTGATTCAATACAGGCTCCCACAGGGCATTTAGCTTCCTAGTCTCCTCCAGTCAGGGACAGTTCTTCAGTCTTTTTCTTTTATGACCTCGGCACTTTTGAAAAGTATTGGCCAGTAATTTTGAGAAATGTTCTTTGACTTGGGTTTGCTGATGTTTCCTTGTATACTTTCTCCAGATAATGTATTTTCAGCAAGAGCACTACAGAAGTCATGATGTGGTCTCCTCGGTGTCCCCTTGTACCGGGAGCACATGGTGTTGACATGTCTCATTACTGATGAGATTACCTTTCATCGTTTAGTTAAGATGAAGTCTGCCAGATTTTTCCATGGTAAAATTACTGTTTTTCCCTTTGTAATTAATAAGTATACTGTGGGGAAATACTTAGGCTATGCAAACATCCTGTTTCTCATCATATATTGTTAGCATCTGTCGATGCAGAACCATGGTGTGGCCAAACAGTGATTTTCTTTTTTCATAATATCTTCTATATTTCTTCACTGGAATTCTACACTATCCTTAGGAAGAAACATTTTTTTCAAAGCCTAAACTTTGTTTCGGGCACCAGAGCAGGTATTTTCTTTCTTTCTTTCTTTCTTTCTTTCTTTCTTTCTTTCTTTCTTTCTTTCAGAATTTTTTTTTTCCAACGTTTATTTATTTTTGGGACAGAGAGAGACAGAGCATGAACGGGCGAGGGGCAGAGAGAGAGGGAGACACAGAATCGGAAACAGGCTCCAGGCTCTGAGCCATCAGCCCAGAGCCCGACGCGGGGCTCGAACTCACGGACCGCGAGATCATGACCTGGCTGAAGTCGGACGCTTAACCGACTGCGCCACCCAGGCGCCCCTCTTTCTTTCTTTCTTTCTTTCTTTCTTTCTTTCTTTCTTTCTTTTCTTTCTTCTTTCTTTCTTTCTTTCTTTCTTCTTTCACAGTTAAATGGAGATGCTATGTATTATTTTTTTAATCTTCATTATTTTATTTTATGTTTATTTGTTTTTTTATTTTTTTTAAATATGATTTGTTGTCAAATGGACTTACATACAACACCCAGTGCTCATCCCAACAAGTGCCCCCTCAATGCCCATCACCCACTTTCCCCTCCCTCCCAACCCCCATCAACCCTCAGTTTGTTCTCTGTATTTAAGAGTCTCTTATGGTTTGCCTCCCTCCCTGTTTGTTTGTAACTATTTTTTCCCCTTCCCTTCCCCTGGTCTTCTGTTAAGTTTCTCAAGATCCACATATGAGTGAAAGCATATGATATCTTTCTCTGACTGACTTACTTCACTTAGCATATTACCCTCCAGTCCCATCCACATTGCTGCAAATGGCCAGATTTCATTCTTTCTCATTGCCAAGTAGGATTCCATCGTATTTATAAACTACACCTTCTTTATCCATTCATCAGTTGATGGACATTGGGCTCTTTGCGTAATTTGGCTATTGTTGAAAGCACAGAGCAGGTATTTTCCATATATGGTCTCATTTATGTTTCACAGTTCTGTGAGGTAGGCATTATTATTTCCATTTTATGGGTCAGAAAACTCACCCTCAGAGACCCTGACTTTAGCTGGCTGAGGGTGGGGCCTCAGCACTGGCTTGTTTAAAACTCCCAGGTGATTTTAATGGACAGCCAAGACTGAGAACCATGATTCCAGAAGGTTTACAGATTGAAGGTCTTTCAACTCAGGTATTCAACTGTGCGATTTCTCTAACAGAAGGAGCCTACATGAAAAGTGTGTCTGATTCAACATTTCCCAAAGTGTGTTCCTCGGACCACACCAGTCTCTCAGTTGTTCCATAAAAAGAGTTACATGAGTTAGTAAATCCATACCATCTGCCTTCTAACTTTGAAGATTCGTAAAGGATGTTGGCACAATTCAAAAACTTGAGAAACCCTATAATAAAGAAGTCTCTTTAAACCTCATTTCACTCAGAATGTCCCCCAAATTATTAAACCTTGCAATAACTTGCAATATCTACAAGAAACATGTAGGACCAGTTCCGCAGCCCCCGCGCAGGCAATTGCCGATGTAATCGGCATGACTTCCAACCAAAAAAGGATTTGAGAAGGTGAAGATGCATTTGCAGTTTTGATTTATTTAAATCAAATCACCCAATTATTTTGTACTTTGTTGTGTTTTCTAAATAAACAAATGTATATATTAACAAATGGATACAATATGTGAATTTTTGTATTCATTTTACATTTATTCCTCCTACGGAGAAATCAGTTCCGTATTAACAGAGGCAAAGAATGAACTGCCAAATTTTTAGAAGGAATCGGATGCTTTTGTGCTTCTAAATTCTGTTAATTAACTAACTTACTTATTCTACCTAAGAGCATCACCACCAACTAGAACAAACATTCAAACAGCCCACATGGAAGGTACTGATGATGCCCAAACAGTTCACCTTGGTCCCTGCCTTTGAGATGCCTTCAATCTAG